TACACTCTTTCTTTATTAACGTAGAGATCGCTTCAATGCAAATCTCATGTGGTTGTAACGGAAGCTCATACACAAATAGCGGGGACTAGGAATGCTGGAAACTCGGTCCCGAGAAACCCGATCAATAATTCGCTCGACCCACCTAACCCACCCAATGGACCACCAAGTGATCCCAACATTCCTCTGTTCGCAGCCGGCTTGCGTCAGCAAGCGGGAAACCACCGGCTCACCACTCCTACGGCGATGTACCACACTGTCATTTTAACAGTTCAATAAAGTCATCTCCGGCCTAAATAGTACATGCCGGCATCGTCTAAAAAAAAAAAAATCCAATGATAAATGTGTGACACGATGCTTTTCGATTTTTTGGTTTTTTAAAGAATGTAATTGGATCGTAGTATTTTAGTGACTATGGGAAATCGTTGTGAGTTAATTTTGTCTTTTCTGCGAACCCGACTTTCGTTCTGGTACATCGATCCCCCTTCCCGTCCCCAAAATGATTCATCATTGTCTTGATTGGCTTGCTGGGACGGCAGTCATAAAATTGTGGCCTGTCGGATATAGTTGACTTGCTGGGACGGCAGTCAAAAATTGTTACCTGTCGGGACGACAGTCACATGTGTAGGAATAGCTTGTTGTCATGACAACGTGATTTGTAGTTCAGTAAAAAAAAAAAAAAAAAAGGGTAAAACAACAAGAGAAAGTCGATGCTCAGAGAAACTGTGTAGGTTGCTCGATGGCAGAAGGGCAATACCCGTTTATGTTCTTCATGATAATATACTCGTAAACGAGAGACAAAACAAATGTTTTTTTGGCGAGTTATTATTAACTATAATTATAGTTATGTAACTGCCAATTTTCCAGAAAAGTCCGAAAGGTACGTACTTGATAATCTTTGTGATGCTTGCTTCCTTGCCTCCTTTGTTTTTTTTTTTTAACCAATTTTTATCATTTTTCATGATTTTATAACAAACGGTTATTATTTTATAAAGTATGGACATGTTAAAAAAATACCGTGATCAATGGTGGAATCAGGGTAACTTTCATCCCAAGGCAGAATGGGGAAAAGTGATGTAAGTGATGCATAACCTTCATATACTGAAGATAAATATGCTAATCTTTCGCTAATTCTACTATACCAAGACTTCCATATACACTTGCGGAAAATGTGACTATTGATAAATATGAAGAACGTACAGACCGATTTAATGTCCGCGGATGTTGGGAGTGGGATGCCAAACTCGAAAAAAATGGAATTGTTTTAGGCGACGTAACAGTGTATGAGCTTCCGTTACAACCACATGAGATTTGCATTGAAGCGATCTCTACGTTAATAAAGAAAGAGTGTATTCCTGTTTATGGGACAGATGCTGAAATTTTTAGTTTGGCTGCAACTCGTAAGTATAATTAATAACTTTTTTAAGTTTTTTTTTTTTTTTTCAAACTAATCTTTGATTGCTTAAAGGGACTCGCGTCAAAAATCATTGCAAAGAACCTGATGGGTCATTTCGTCCCGAAAAATCTTCAGTAGAATTACCAGATGGAAGCGATGGATTGGTACTTTTATTACTCTTATATTACTTTGGAATTCTATAAGGTCAATTTCATGTTTATTTTTTAATTTGTAGGATGCGCCATGGCCAAATCTCGTGGTAGAAGTCGCATCTTCAGAGTCTGTTAGTCACGTCAAGGAAAAAGCACGGAGTTACTGGCTATACAACAATCGCGTTCACGACGTAATTATTGTTAAACTTTATGATGCTGCCGAAAACCAAGTTCCGCGCCGTATGAAGGTAATTATATTTTGCAGTACATGTGTTATTTTTTGTTATATCATTCTAAAGATTTTAATCTATAACAGGTATGGCACTATTGCATATCAGGTACCTATGTGCAATATAAACTTAAACCTAAAAATAAGGTAAGTTATATCAGAAAACCTTGTTCTCGCAGATTACAAAATTTATAATGTATATTGGTCAATTATTAGTTTGAGTTTGGTACACAAGATGCAAATGGCGATCCGTTAAATTATAAAGAGGGAACACGTGTTATCAGTATTCCCCCGATTGAAGTTCCTAGAAGCACTCTCCCAGATCCTATCACATTGGATTTCTTTTTTGTTAAACAAACAATCCTCAAATCATTTAGTTATAAACGCGAGTAAATATCCTAAGGTAACATTTTCTAGTTGCAGTGCCTATTTTATGTTTATTTATGCTTTATATAAGAAATTTATTAATAAACCAAAAATCTTATTATACGATAATAATCTAATATTTTTTAGTTTGATCAACTTTATGGAAATGCTTAACATCAATGTTGTGATTCAAGTCGAGATCTGCTTCAATTTTAATACTTCAATTTTAATACTTCAATTCTAATTTTAACGTTTCAATTTCAATGTTATATACTTTGATTTTAGTGTTATAAGCAAAACCTAAACATATTTCCTGGCGTTTAGTCAGTACTTGGTGGCACATATTGTGCTATACTTAAAATTTTTATATTATACCTTATGCATCGATCATTAATCAGAAAACCCATTTTTACAAATAATTAGTGGTAATAAACCACTTTTTAGTTTCAAGCTTTACATCTTACTTCATCTTATTTTTTTTAAAAAAAATTTGAAGGCTAACCACATTTTATAATTTGGTGTACATGCAAGGCAAGAAAATATGGGTTTTCCATATAGAGTGCCAGTACCCTCTGAGAATAGATCGGATCATTTTTTAATGTGCCCAATAGGTACTTAACAGCATCTTAAATTTAGAGTACAATTATTTTAAAGTACAATTTAAACAAAAAATAACATAATACTTTAACAGCGTTCATTTTTTTGTTTATTTCTGTATTAATTACACACCTGTCGTGCCTTATTTAATAAGTAGCTGCGCGACATTGTCGCGCCAAACCAGGGACGGATGTGCATAATTTATAAAATTTTGTTACGACTAGAATAATTATGCGGGTTGCATCGATGCCTGGTTTAATAATTAAAAATCAAGCCGTAAATGTAATGAAAATTTGAACAGCGTTTTAATGAACTGAAAGTTTCACGGTTATAGGATTATTTGAATAAAATGAGAAGTACTGTATTACTTATTTTAAAACGTTTATTGAAAACAATATAAGGATATTGATTAATTGATGTTATGTTAAAGTAGTAGGTTAGATGTTCATTATATATGGAATAAAGATCAAAAAAATATGTTCAGAATTGGAGGGAAAAGTTGAAGACACATCAAAAAAAAAAAAAAAGAATACATATCGTTTAGTATTGAGGTCGAATGGTTCTTGCTCACGTGTTAGATTATGATAATCGGGGAATAAATAGCGGCGATAAACTAGGGATGGTAAAAATCGTTTTAAAACATAACCCCCCTAGCATGACCACCAAAATCAGTTACGTAATCGCTGTTTAAAATCTGAGATCTTGTAATCCAGCACATT